CTATTGAGACCGAATTCTTATTTTTCAAGACTATCACGACAAAAGTCGTCGAAATCAATAACATCTATCCGCGACCTCAACGGCTCAATTAATGTTTTCCGCGAAATGCGTGACTGCCTAAAAATACCCGCTACCGTAAAAAAAAATCGTAAAATCAACCTGTAACAATTTTGAATGCTTTGACTACTTTGCCATTTAATGTGTTTTTGTGTTTTGCTATACGACTCTGAAAAACTATGCGACTCAAAATGACGACTTACCATATAACAAAGCTTTGCTCTGCTAATGAGTTTCTATTGTTTATATTTTACGTATATATAGTAAATATATATAAAATGTAAATATAAATATTATCAAGATATCGAAAGCCAAAAATTAAATCCGGGACAATTGGTTGAGATCATATGTAGCCTCCAAATCCATTTTTTTTCTTTGCAGACTGCCGCGACTTCATAATAAAGTTTGGGCGAATAGTTTCCCGACCATCGCGAATTAATGTCCGGATTAAATTGACTAGTTTTAGGCTGTGTCGCAACTATTATTTAAATTAATTTGCCATTATTTTTCAGACTTTTGCGCCTAATCTACAAACAATGGCCGGCGAAACAAAAATTTTATCGTTTTATTTCTGTTTAAGAATTCTTCATTTTGATGCACGTGTCTCTCTCCGGTCGATGTGCTCACTTAATATTAAACCGTCTCAACTTAAATTTGCTATGCTTCGACCATCTCGATTGAAGTTCGCCGGTGTTTTTTATCTGTTTGAACCATATTTGGGGTATGTTTTGATTTTCTTGACCGAAAAAAAATGTGCTCGACTGTGCTCGAACCAAAAAATGTAATTTTCGACAGCCTGACCCAAAAAAAAAACATTTGTTCAACTGCATTCCAGGCCAGATAATTTCAAACCATATATCTTCAAAGCATGCCATCCAACCGGCTCTACGGAGTTCGACTTTCTGGGGCCAAAAAGTGTGCTCAAACTTAATTAACCTAAATCCGATAGGTGTGTTTTTTTCAATCATAAAATCATAATTCGTATCTTTCTACTGTCTCAAAGTTTTTGGTCAACAGTTGATTGATTCAAAAGTTTTTTTATCCCAACTCGAGCATTTTTTGTCTAACTCTCCAGACATGTGGGTGCGCATCTCCTGGCGTGACTGTCTGCACCAAAAAATTATGCCCGAAAAATTATGAAATTCAATAACTTGAAAATTTTACACCACAATTGTATTGAATCGCTCATAAGAATCAGTACATTTTTTTGTCCTTCAAGCAGCACAAAATGAATTTAATATGCCAATAAAACATGAGCAACAACCAAAAAAAGCGAACTCAATTTAAAAAATACATAAAAATTTAACAAATATCTGAGTTGGTAAAATGTCTAAATAGAAGGAAAACTGTCGGTTATTTTGAAAATTGCCTAAACCAGGGGAAAAAATTATATTTTTGAAGTTACGCTGAAAAAATCCACAGGAAAACGCAAGTCACACAGTTCCTTCCTCCCAAAAAACATCATTTTCTCACTTTTTGGAAACAAAACAAAGTCCGACTGGTACTCGCGTTTTTGACTTCAGGTTGCATATGCACCGCCTTGACTCTAGATCACGTGAAAGGAGCCTGTAAATCGTCAGGGTTTAATTATAAATGAGCAACTTAATACTTCCTATTGATTTGTAAACAAAAGTTGTTTACGCGAAAAAGTCTAGTGCCCGATTGCAAGACACTTGCTCTCTCAAGTGTGATGAAGATTTTTGATTACACATGGCTGTGTTCAGGGTTAAAAAAATGTTTGTTCCATAGACAAATTTGTTTCCACAAACAGCATTTTTTAAGGTTTTTGAACAGTCTGGATTACATTGACACCGTGTGCTACAAGTTATATTGAGATTGCACGTATGATAACATTTCGCAGTCTTGACAATGCGTGTGAGCATTTTTATCAGAAATTACTTCGGATTATTTGAAAGTAAGTTCAGTCAATCAGGGCTTGGTTCTCTTGGAGGGATTGGATCTCTCAATCAGAGTTTGGGGGGGGGGGGGATTCGTTACTAGGTGCAAAACTCACATATGCTTAACCGTTGAACTATTTCAATATAAGAGTGACCGTTCATTTTTAGCTATTAAAGGAGTAATGATTAAAGAGATTCCAGGGCTTCGTTTTCAATCAAAGTATGTCGCCTCTCATTTTCTAACGACGTTATTTCATGAGACTTAGTGTTTTGTTATGCTCGGCAAGTTTTTCTATCACTTGGATTTGAAATTGTTGAATCGCCAAGTTTAAGAACGCTGGACTAGCTCATTTGCATAACCAAAATATACACACATACATGATTACTTACAGTTTGTACTGTTGAAATAAAATCCGATTAAAAATTAGCCAGAAAGTTTCAAACACATTATTGGCGCTGAATTAAGGAAGACTGTTATATTAACACGCTTGAGCGTTTTATTGCTCTCAAAACCAATTTCAAATCCTGCGGCAATTATAAATCCACTTTTCTTTGATTTTTTGTGCGTTTTGTTTTTCGGATTGCAAATTTGCTTTTTTTGTTGTTTTTTTTTCGGAATATTTTAGTGTTTTATGCGACTGCTGTCATCAGCGAACACTTTTTTGCATTCATAACTTTCATTCGGTTTTTTGTTCATTTGCACTCTCAGTTAGTTTTTCATATGATTTTATTTTAAGCTATTTTGAGAAGTGAGCTGTCTGCTTTGTTGTTTTTTTTTTCGGAATATTTTAGTGTTTTATGCGACTGCTGACATCAGCGAACACTTTTTTGCATTCATAACTTTCATTCGGTTTTTTGTTCATTTGCACTCTCAGTTAATTTTTCATATGATTTTATTTTAAGCTATTTTGAGAAGTGAGCTGTCTGCTTTGTTTTTTTTTTCGGAATATTTTAGTGTTTTATGCGACTGCTGACATGAGCGAACACTTTTTTGCATTCATAACTTTCATTCGGTTTTTTGTTCATTTGCACTCTCAGTTAGTTTTTCATATGATTTTATTTTAAGCTATTTTGAGAAGTGAGCTGTCTGCTTTGTTGTTTTTTTTTTCGGAATATTTTAGTGTTTTATGCGACTGCTGACATCAGCGAACACTTTTTTGCATTCATAACTTTCATTCGGTTTTTTGTTCATTTGCACTCTCAGTTAGTTTTTCATATGATTTTATTTTAAGCTATTTTGAGAAGTGAGCTGTCTGCTTTGTTGTTTTTTTTTTCGGAATATTTTAGTGTTTTATGCGACTGCTGACATCAGCGAACACTTTTTTGCATTCATAACTTTCATTCGGTTTTTTGTTCATTTGCACTCTCAGTTAGTTTTTCATATGATTTTATTTTAAGCTTTTTTGAGAAGTGAGCTGTCTGCTTTGTTGTTTTTTTTTCGGAATATTTTAGTGTTTTATGCGACTGCTGACATCAGCGAACACTTTTTTGCATTCATAACTTTCATTCGGTTTTTTGTTCATTTGCACTCTCAGTTAGTTTTTCATATGATTTTATTTTAAGCTATTTTGAGAAGTGAGCTGTCTGCTTTGTTGTTTTTTTCGGAATATTTTAGTGTTTTATGCGACTGCTGACATCAGCGAACATTTTTTTGCATTCATAACTTTCATTCGGTTTTTTGTTCATTTGCACTCTCAGTTAGTTTTTCATATGATTTTATTTTAAGCTATTTTGAGAAGTGAGCTGTCTGCTTTGTTGTTTTTTTTTCCGGAATATTTTAGTGTTTTATGCGACTGCTGACATCAGCGAACACTTTTTTGCATTCATAACTTTCATTCGGTTTTTTGTTCATTTGCACTCTCAGTTAGTTTTTCATATGATTTTATTTTAAGCTATTTTGAGAAGTGAGCTGTCTGCTTTGTTGTTTTTTTTCGGAATATTTTAGTGTTTTATGCGACTGCTGAGATCAGCGAACACTTTTTGCATTCATAACTTTCATTCGGTTTTTTGTTCATTTGCACTCTCAGTTAGTTTTTCATATGATTTTATTTTAAGCTATTTTGAGAAGTGAGCTGTCTGCTTTGTTGTTTTTTTTTCGGAATATTTTAGTGTTTTATGCGACTGCTGACATCAGCGAACACTTTTTTGCATTCATAACTTTCATTCGGTTTTTTGTTCATTTGCACTCTCAGTTAGTTTTTCATATGATTTTATTTTAAGCTATTTTGAGAAGTGAGCTGTCTGCTTTGTTGTTTTTTTTTTTCGGAATATTTTAGTGTTTTATGCGACTGCTGACATCAGCGAACACTTTTTTGCATTCATAACTTTCATTCGGTTTTTTGTTCATTTGCACTCTCAGTTAGTTTTTCATATGATTTTATTTTAAGCTATTTTGAGAAGTGAGCTGTCTGCTTTGTTTTTTTTTTCGGAATATTTTAGTGTTTTATGCGACTGCTGACATCAGCGAACACTTTTTTGCATTCATAACTTTCATTCGGTTTTTTGTTCATTTGCACTCTCAGTTAGTTTTTCATATGATTTTATTTTAAGCTATTTTGAGAAGTGAGCTGTCTGCTTTGTTTTTTTTTTCGGAATATTTTAGTGTTTTATGCGACTGCTGACATCAGCGAACACTTTTTTGCATTCATAACTTTCATTCGGTTTTTTGTTCATTTGCACTCTCAGTTAGTTTTTCATATGATTTTATTTTAAGCTATTTTGAGAAGTGAGCTGTCTGCTTTGTTGTTGTTTTCTCAAAATCACACAATTTCCGTAGCTGATAATCTTAAAGACTTGGTTATAACTGAGTGAGGCTCTTTTCAACCTGGGTGACGCTCTTTCCCACTTTCCACCTGCTTCACAAATTTTTCATATTCAAAAAACTTTTGCTTGCTATTATGGCCAATGCCTGTTTTTGTAAGACATGAAAACAAATGAGTTGAGTTCATGACATTAAGAGAACGTAAAAAAATTTCTTTTAATGCTGAAAATTAACTGTTGGAAGAGGGAGTGGAAAAGAACCGAATGTGCCCGCTAAAAAAAAACTAAATGGAAGTTAAACTCTATTCAAAACAGCCAAAACATTTTCGATGTTTTAAGTTCTAGCACAGAATTGATTTTGACCGATCCAGATTGGCTGTTAAAATTCTATTCCCCGAAATTCGTCTGAAGTCTCTCGGTTGATCATTCGTTGCTCCCAAGTTTTCTTTCCACGTGATTACATTTCGGTTTGTCTGTGGTGGAGGAAACTTGGGTTCGTGTGGGTTTTCATTCGGGTTGAATGACGAGAAGGGTCCCTTTGAAAGAACTTCGTCTCTGTAGATGGTCGTTCGGCTGTTCGGGATGTAACGATTGACCGCCAGTGCTTTCTTCATGTCGGCTCCATATCTCTGGTATGACATGTTTGCTAGCGACGCGAATTGGTCATTGGCTAAAATATGTTGTTTATTTATGGGAGACTTTTTTCTGCATCTCATCCTCATGCAATAAACATTTCTTGAAATCAATCTGTTTCAAAAGAGTAGTTAGCACTTGTAATTTTAGGATCCCCTTTTAATACAAATTTTGGCTCTGACCACTAATTAGACTTGCTAGAAAGTTTAACCAGTGGGGGTATGGGTGAGTTTTCTACGTTCAAACCTCTCCTTTTGTATCCCTGACTCAGAACTATTTGCCCTTTTTATCCGGGCTTAACAATGAGCAAAGAGCAACGAGCTAGGATTCTGCTGGGACTCGAAGCAGCAACCTCTCTAAAAGCGGATAAAGTTAACACCTTCCACCCAGATAGACCACGTTAAGATCCTCCATCTCAGCGTTTAATTTTGATCAAATTTTTCAATGGATTGGGATGGATTGGGGGGGGGGGGGATGGATTGGGGGGGGGGGGGGGGGGTGGAGGATGTTAACTTGGTCCCAAAAAACAAACATGGTTGGCGAGCTTTTATGTATCTCTTGAAATGAATCTTCTTCTCGCCTATACTTACTCTGTATGCTCTGTCTCAGTCTGTCGACATAATTAGAGTTAGCAGTTGTGTCCGAGTGGAACTGGGACCCCACTCCGATCTCGAAGTGACTCCTCAACTGACTCGGATACCTCCCCGGAACAGCCGGCAATACTCCACCCTTCCTCCCCGAGTACTCCGAATTGTAACTGGTCGTCCCGTCGCCCACTATGTTCGGATTCCGCTCGAAGGAAAACGTCGCCGTGTGCAGCAGTCGGTTACCTCTAATAGGTCGTTCGCTGATTGGTCGACGACGCTCTGTCTTGGGAACGTCCTCAATTGACGTCATATTCAACCCATTATTACGTAATATTGTGATAGCATTTTTGTTTGAAGGAAATTGGGGATAAATTGGTGAATATACTGAAGTCGCCATCGCAAAATCAGAGCTTTTGAAAATGTTTAGAATCGAAAAATATTCTCTGGAGTGTTTAAATGCAGTTTACTGTTATGCAGTTGTGTAACTCATTATAAATTCATTGATATATATTTTTACCTTCTATTTGCAATTCGACTCATGCTAGCATAACTTACATTAAAACAAGACGGTTGAGAATAATAAATGAATAAAAATCACTTAGTACAACGTCAATTGAGAAAAAAATTAAAAAGCGCGATATTCACTTGTTCAATGGCATGTACAAGGTTTGTGCTTATTTTGTGCATTGGTTTCACAGTCAAAACAGTTACGTTTGAGGATTTTTATTGAGCATTGTAAACCTTATTTTTGGATGTGAATGATGGGATAACTGGAGCCGGATTGTAAAAAAGAATATTTTGATGGGCGAGCTATACAGGTGCATAAAAGCCTCAAACAATCGATCGTCCAAGTAAAAATTGCAAGCGTGAAAAAATACATGGGTAGCAAAAACCCATAGACGTCAGATGTGACAATTATTTATGAGCTATGATTACTTAATGGAAAATAATTACAGACTGCTCGTATCAGAGGAAACCTCTGAATATTCCGACTTTCTGTTAAGATATCTGCAGTAGTTTTTTTAAATGCTGCATATATATTTTCATTTTTTCTGAAAGTTTTTAAGTGTTGTAATTTAATTGTTTAATCTTTCCCTCACACGCAGTTCAAGTAAAAAGGGAAACATTTCTCTCCGTAAAAAAAGTTATTTGGAACAAAAATGGGTGTCAATCCAATAAACAATAGGTTAAAACGCTGCATACTCGATAAGGAAAACTGCTAAGCTTTCAAATTTCATTCGTAAATTTGTTGGTTTAACACGTCGCGGGTGCAATATCTTGAAATTTCGAGCTCAGGAATAAGCATAACTTTCACATGTTTTTCTGCTTGTTTCGACTAGCCTTCAACGTCTATGAAATTGTTTTCTATTTCAAAAGCAATGATCTTTTTTAAAAGAAATAGAACCTTTTGAAATTTTTGGCGGTTTTCTTATAATTTTTTTTCCTGATGCTGTAAAATAATAAGCAATGCATTTAATATCTAGTAACACATTAAAACAAAAAAAATTGCTCCCTCGCGCGTAGTTGGCATCACCGGCGGATTTAGAAGGGGGGAGGGGGCGAAGCGTGCCACATATCCCTTTTTGGCTGACTGACCCTAAATTTTTTTCTAAAAACGCCTTTGGCGCTAAAATGTAGTAATTTTGAGAGGGCGGCGCGCGCAGAAAAAACGCAATTTTTTTGGTCCAAATTTTCCGAAAAGTGCTTAAAACCGCCTTTTTTTGGCCTGTTTATTTTCGAAAATTTGCCTGCGGTGCAAAAAATTTATTCAAAATGGGGTCTTTATAGTGATTTGAGAGAGTTCAGAAAATCAATTTAGTCGACCTAAAAAAAGGTCGACAAAGTTTCGATTTTTTTAAAACTCCGCTCCCTCCCCGAGAAAATCCTAGATCCGCTCCTGATTGGCATAACAAATTCTAATAATTTTACAAATAATTACCATCGGTGAAATTTTTTTTCAGGTCATCTCAGACGTTCAGTAATTTTGAAAAAGTTTTGTTCGAAATACCCAGTCAAAATTTTCCGAAGAACAAAAACCAAAGCACGTCAAATAACAAAGTTTTGTCATTTCGCAAAAAGTTAGAGCAATAAGGAATTTCGATTGCAGTTTAAAAAAAATTCTTGCATCTAAGTTAATCTTGAGTTATGATTGAGGGTTTGTACTCATAGAGTAATTTCAGATATAGTACACCGTCTGCTCGTCCCGCTATCTTATTTTTTCGGCCGGATAGGTTCGTGCAACTTCTTAGTCTAATACCAATCATAATCGTACTCTTATATCTCTTAGTCTCTATAGATCTAGTGTACACTGGTCTTTGCGAGTTAGTTCTTGGAGTTTATCCAGAAAGAGAACAACTGTAACCTAAGATTTATTTAAATTGTTCTGGTGCTGAATTTACAAGTAGTTTCAGCACTTGCAAATAAGTGTCAATGTTAGTGATGGAATATGATTATTTAGTTAGTAATATTTTATAGGATAGTTTTATCAATAATATAATTCGTTTATAAATACTAGTTTAGAACTGGTTCCAATCTTTTAACCACACAAACTTTTTCCGATCTTTTAAAATCAGCTGCCACACATTATCTTAAAAAAAGAATTAGACGTTTTCAAAAAATTTTTGAGTTCAAAAAACAGGTGAAACTTTTTGTTCTTGGTTCCAATTAGAGCGGAGTAAAGTCAGCGAGGAGAAAAATCAAATACTTTTTTATTGTTGTTTTTAAATTTCAAAAAGCAATGATAACTTGTTGAATCAATTCAAAAAAAACTAATACATTTTCTCATACAACGCACAAAAATTGACAGAAATAACGCGGTGAAATTGAAAAAAAAAATCATCTATTTTTAAAGTTTTTTCCATTTTTTTTTTCACTTCGGTCCCTCTGAGCTATTTGCACAGCAACGGGCGGATTTTTTCAAAATCTTAAACCTTTGACTTTTTCTTTTTTTTAAACAATTCGTTTATTGCAGCACTCAGTATATGGACTTGCATGTAAATTCAATATTTTTTCTCGAAACACACATCGTCATCTGACGACAGCCAAAATCACGAGGGTGAATAAAAACTTTTTCTGCTTAAGCCTTCACAAAACTGTCCTAAACTATAAAGTTGTACAACACATTCTGTCTCCCAGACAAATTGTCTGAAATTAGTTTCTTTGACTTGACTTTGGGATATTTAACGTGTCGATGTTTTGCGTACGTTCAGTGCTTCTATAGTGAGATTATGTGCGTAACAAATAACCATAGAACAGTCACAGAGAGACCCATCATTCAAAAACAAATCAGTGCAATTTTAAAGCGCTTTTGGCTTAGAGGTGAAATTATTGGTTTCAAGATCAAGAGATCGGCAGTTCAAATCTTGATTTGGACAGAAGTGTTCTCACCTTGGTAAAAATTTCAAAATGAAAAGCCCAAAATTTAATAAAATTTGGCAGAGTTGAAATAAGCTGACTCGGTTGGGCAAAAGGAAAATAATCGGAAAACTTTCCATGAAATGGGTGTTTTGTCGTTTTAAAATTGAGTCTGGCTCGTTTTTGATTTTTTCTAGGAAAAACTTCAACTTGGAGAAGCTTGTCGAAACTAATAAATTTAAAACATAAATTTTGGATAACAATTTAAAAACGGAATTTTCATAATAATTTAATATGCTGCTATAACTTTTGAGGAAACTGAAAATTTACACAGGTCATAGCCCGCAACTAGCTCGGGAAATTTTTTTTTCAATTCTAAGAGTGCGGTTTTTTATAGCGTGGCACTCTTTGCCCGGCCTTTGTTTTTCGACTAAAACGTTTTGATGGTCTTTGGAAAAAGTGGGTGTTTTGCATTGACAAGTTTTACGAAGATGCTCTTCGTAGTTTTAACTGCGTTGTTGATTCTCGGACGCCCTGCTGTACCACATTAATGGCAACTCCAACGGTCAATTTTGAGTCTAGGTTTTTGATGTGCTACATTTGCCGTCTATAGTCGATCAAAAATTATTTTGAAATTGGGTTCTGGAGTGTTTCAAATTCAACGGGAATGTCACTCACTGACAAGAAAGCTGTAGCAGTAGCATTCAGAGAAACTCACGGAAGTCAAGACCAAGCCTATAGTTATTTTTGTTTCCAGTAGATTGAACATGACACCTGACAATTTTTTGAACGTCAAGCCTACAGCTATTTGTATTTCCAGTAGTTTTAAGGTGACGCCAGACGACGCACCTCTGTCTGTCGAGGTGGTTAGTCTACAAGAACTGCTCTAATTTTAGGAGCTGTTGTGAATGTCCGTTTCTCAGTGTAGCTGGAACTGGAAAATAACTATGATCCATTATAATAGTGACCTTGTCTTGCAAAGTCTTTAGATAAAATACATTGCACCAATATTGAGGTTATTGTGAAAAATTGATGTTTAAATTAAATATACGCATCATGTTTTAGCAATTTTTTATTTTCATTTTTATAAAGGTTGAATTGTTGAACATGAACTCACGAGCAATCATTATGATAATGGAATCAGTCATGTCTACAATTGGCAAAATCATCGATCAAGCAAAAAATCGTACAGTATGTGTAAATATTTTTAGTCCTCGATTATTTTTGTCTCTGATAATTACTTTATAAAAAAATTTAGTTTTTTCTGGCTCAATTGGTTGCCTTATTATATAAATCCTTTTTATTGAAAATTTTATCAAAAAATCCGGTTGTTGTCAAGAATCTAGTAAGCTGAACATTTTTTGTGACAATTTGGTCTCGGAATCAAATTTCTGTTTTTTTTTGAATTTTAGACAACTTTGTCTGTGAGATAAATGTATTGGGCACAATTACCCAGACACGGTCATCAGATACAGTTTTCTCGAGACTCATGCTGTTTTAGTTTCGATTTTCCGCGAAACACTTCTGTACACTTAACTATCTTCATTCATGATAAAAAAGGTTGATTGTTGCAGCATTCTACCTGACTCAAAACCACTGAAAACACTTTCCGGAATTTTTTCTTTGCGAAAAAAGTGGATTGACCGAGAAAAAACTATGGATCATCAAATATTTTTTTAAACTCAAAAAGCATACATTTCGTATGTTCCTTTTACATGTTTGGTTTTTACATACGTGGTTACAGAAAATCATATATGCTCGGTATAAATATATGACAATAGAAGCTACAGGTAATTAACTCTTTCCCACGCCGTCTTCTTCCGAAATTGGAAACCCGATATCCGAAGACTGATCCGAACCGCTCTCGTCCTGTTGCGAGCTGCCTTTGCTAGATTTGAGCTTTTTGCCTTTCTTCTTTTTAGGCACAGCCAGGCCTCCGGACTTTTCCTTCCAGATGCTGCTGTTACTTTTCTTTGAATTGCTTCTCAGTCTGGTCAAACTGCTGGAGTCTGGATCGGCCGAGTCGTAATGAGGATGTCGCAAGTCGTGGAAAAATTTTTCCGGGTGAACTACTCCAAAAATTACCAGCCAGACTATAGCATTTACGAGGCAAAACTTTATAATTTCCATGACTAAACATCGGAATGAATAGCCTTCGCTGACTACACGGTAATCTAACAGTGCTGGAGCCCTGGATATAATCCAGGTACAAACTAAAGAGCAAGCATACCTTATGTAAATTACTTCCATTGTAATAATCAGAATAACATAAACAGTGTCAGGGTTTTTGATGTAAATAAGAGCTAAGAGAAGACTTATTCCAGCAACATTGGCTACTGCATCAGCCAGAAAGAAAGAAATTACACCTGTTTTGAACCCGTGGTTCTTAAAGGAATCGGT